AGGGGTTGGGTGAATATGGGTTGGGTGAATATGGGCTTTGGTGAAGGTGGGCTTGGGCTAGGGGGTGGGGCGGGTAGGGCTGTGGCCCAAGTAACCCGGGGGAGGGGGAGGGAAATGTCCAGGGATTCGGGCCCGAGGGATGCTGCTGATTGCCGCCGCCACGACCTCGACCGCCGCCGCGACCCATGCCGCGGTTGCCGCCTCCACCGCCACCGCCGGAGCCGCCACCATATCCGCCGCCAAATCCGCCGCTGCTCCTAGATCCGCCGTAGCCGCTGCCTCAGTCTTGCCGGTGTCCGCTGCCCGCATGTCTACTGCCGCCGCCGGTGCTGAGTAGAGCCGTGGACGGCGCGCCGGCGCCATATATGGCGTCGGTTTGTTGCTGTTCAATGAGGAGTAAGGCAGACCGAACTTCCAAGAACGTCGGGAGTGGATTTTGATATTGCAGAAATTGAACTTGACTGCGGATGTCGTGAGGGAGGCCTTGAAGAACCTGGAGCACAAGGGCATGTTCGGTGACAGGGGCATCCGCATCGTTAAGATACTCGGAGAGGTTCTTGAGAAGGCGACAATATTCGTTAATGGAGAGTTGGTCCTTCACAGTTGTACAGAAACAGTGCTCCAGTTGCATCACCCGGGCATGCTTATTGTCGTGAAAGAGATTGTAGATTGCTGTCCACAGGGCATGAGCAGAGAGATTGTTGGCGAGCACAAGGTCAGAAACCTCATCCGTGATTGTGGACAGGATCCATCCCTGAATTAGGGCATCAAACTGATACCATTCAGCATCGTCTGCGGAGGAGTCGATGGTCGTGCCGTCGATGAGAGATTGAAGCGGAGGATCAAGAGACGGAATAATCGACTCCACTTTTTGTAATTTGGTTCTAAGAGACTGAGTTGTACGGGAATATGGAGTTTGATGTTGGATATGGTGGTGAAGGCTAGATGAGGAGAATTGTTTGGGGAATAGGTTTCAGTGTTGGAGGTGACTTTGCTAGAGGAGGCGGAGTTGGCCATGGTTTCCAGAGGAGGAGGAAAACTGCCAGTGAAGGAGGAGTAGGGGCTGACCGAAAGTCAAGAAGGAGAGGGGAAGAGGGAAGCCGTGAGAAATTAGGGCTCCGATACCATGAAGAATGAATATTTTCTATTGAATTATTATGAGAGATTACATGTGTATATATACAAGGATTTCCTAATGACAATAGGAAACAATAATTAATACACCCTATACAAATATGGTAGCTACCAATATACATTAATATTAAATATAGTAAGAATATAGTTAACAATCACAGACTTCATGAATTCTTGAGCATATGTATTCAATCATGTTTCTTAGGTTTCACTACTTGATATTAGTTTATCTTTCGCTGCTTAATCCAATAAGGGACTTTTGCGTGCTGTTGCTGTTATTCGGAAATTTATTTTTGAGGATTCATAAACTATAATATTGTGTTTGTGCCGAGTTCTAACCTCTAAAATCATCAATAATGATTTTAGCGTTATTTTATTGTGTAGATCATTCTTGCATGTTATGTCAGAATTATTTTGGTTAAGCTTTGAAAGTCTTACATTCATTGAAGCAAAGAGTTGGCTTGTATTGGACATTTATATGTCCGGACAGAGTAACTATATGCTCCCTCTTTTATTATTTAGTTGTCTTTCTTTCATTTTCTAGATGTCCAGAATTAATTTTCAAGTTGCATTATTTTGTAAATAAATCGTGGGGAATTACCCAAAAGACTAGATCGATATTTGAGAGGGTTGGGACAAATGGACAACTAATTCGAGATGGAGGGAGTACTATGTTGTATGAGAGAATTTCAAGTGTATGCTTTGAACTATAATAGGAAAATCTTACAACATTTTGGCATTGAAATTGGAAGTCGCAATGTTTGAGAGTGCAGAATATATAACTCTTTGATTGTGTGAAGTGGGTGAATGGACTCTTAATTATTAAAGGACTCAAGCTGAAATTATACTCTGGTAGGATGTTGATAAGTCCGTTTCGTTCTTATCATTTACATCATATTCTAAATGTTATTGCACGTAAATAGTATTTAATCATCTCATAAAATGTGTTTTCAATGAATAGAACTCTCATTTTCGTTCTAAGAGTCATAAAAAGGGATTCCACATGAAATCATCATAAATCATCCATTTTTTGTTGAAATACTTGAGAGAAAGGGAATCAATCATCAAAGGATCAAGATTCGGCCTTGAACGAGCTTCCGGGAGGTCAAAAACAGTGTTCGGGGCCAAAACGGAGCGAAATTGGGCCGAAATCACAAACCAGCCGCGAAGCCCAACAAAGGAAGGGCCTAAGGCATCCAACTTCGACGATTGACCAAGTTGGACGCTTGGGAGTTGGACGCTTCAACTTAATTGCAGACTAAGAATGACACGTGGCAAAACCTGGTTGGCCGGGAAAGCTCAGGCGTCCAGATCTGGACGCTTTGACTTGGACGCCTTGGCTCCGTTCCTATAAATACAGCGCGATCCCTCTCATTTTAATCATCCCATTCCATCCCAACTTCGTGATTTACACATCCCCTCTCCATTTTAGCTTGTATATTAGTTGTAGTAGTTAGTTTGAAGTATTTTCGGAGGTTTTGACTCTAGATCTGTTCTGTTCTGCTTTTACGGAGGTTGTAAGTTCTCTTTATTTAATAAAATGGTGTTTTAATTTATGTTTGCATAGTATGAGTTAGGGTCCGGATCTGTGGGTCCGGACAAGTTTGGTTGTATATTTTTGATGTTAAATTAATGATGGAATGGTTAGTCTATTGTTCTTGCCTTATTTGGTTAATTAAACTCGTAAGATTTAATTAGCCATTTATTGAGAAAATATTGTTTGTCCAAGGGCTATGATATTCAAGTGCAACGGATTAAGTACAAATCTAGAAATGGATGAGTAATAATAGAAATATTATTATTCCAACTGTTAATTAAATATGATAAAATAAATCCAAATGAAGTCCAGACCTTAGGTCCAGATCTTGCTTATACTATGTAAATAAATTTATTTTTATTTTTACTCTGCTTTCATAATCGTTCCGAGAAGACTTTCATAAACCAATCCTAATCTTCGCCTCGTTAGAGTAATTAAACTAATTCCCTTCGTCCACTCCTCGAGAGACACGACACTTGGAGTGAAAACTAACCCTTTAATGGGAAGATTTACTACCCGAAAAACTATGATTGTCAAATGGCGCCGTTGCCGGGGAGTGGCACGACATTAGTTTAATTTCTTCTGATTAGCTTGGGTGAAGATTGGTTAGAACGATCTTCTCACTTCTTTTCACCAACCACCCGTAATAATTATTATGGATAACTCTAGTGGTTATTACGGTCCGCCTTCTTTCTACCAATCACCCAACCGCCTTCCGTAGCATCCACCTTACCACCCACATCAGAACCCAAATGATGATGACTACCAAGTCAACAATGGGTCTGACTACTATCCCTACCATGAGGAACCACCATATGATATCCCGTCTAGAAACTTTGGATATTCTCCATACAAGGATTCTGATGGAGATAATTATTATGAACCTCATGGTGACCAAGATGACTATGACCAATCTGGGCCTATGTGCGACGATCAATCTGATCCACTCGTCGAAGAGATCATAAGATTAGAACAGAAAATCTTCTATTTCGACGAAGTTTTATTCGCGGAAGGCTCGTGGTACGAACCACCTTACTCCCGTGACTACACTCTGTTTGCTGAAGAACAAATCAAAGCAAACAAGGTGGCAATTCGAGAAAGAGCAAAACTTCTTGAATCAGCCCGGAAGGAAATGGAGTTTGAAAGGAGATTATGCGAAGAATCAGAAAGGATGCAGAAAATGCTGGACGACTTCCAAAGAGAGAGACTAGAAGTCGAGGCTAAGGCTGATGAATTAGTCAATGATCTCTGTAAGGCTATTGAGCTTAAACGCTCCCTCCAATCTCAAGATAAAATAAGGGAGGTTAATGCTCAAAAAGGGGCTTTAGAACCCAATACCAAATCTGAAACTTTCAACCATCAGGTTCCGGTTCTAGAAGATTCACCGAGTTCTACACCATCACAGAAACCCAAGAGCATAAAAACTCTCGCTAGGGCTACTGTGGTGATGTTACCTGAATCCCTGCCTAGCCAAGTCCCAACCAGCATAGTCGTACAGAAGGTGGAACAAACTGAAGGACCTGACTCAGAACCACCTATGCTTATTCAAGAACAGAAGGAGGAGGAAGTTTTGCCTATGGCAATAAGCGACCATCTCCTTAATTGTGTTGAAGACACACCTCCAGAGGAACCTGTTCTGGAGGAGATAGAGCCCACTACCTACCCCCAAGATTCCAACGTTCAAGAGTCTGAGGAGGAATCTATAGACGAAGAAATACCTAGCATAGAGGAACCAATAACGTCTATAGATAATCATGCTTCATCAAAAGACTTAGACCAAACTTTCTTTGACTCCCTACTTGACGGGTTTGATTTTGTCTGCCCGAAGGATAGTTGGAGCCAAAAGAGTTGGGATGAACTTCTGGTAAGTGACACAGAAGACTCGTCTGTGAGGGAAAGCATGGTCGTAATCATCAAACCACAAATGGATAGTCAACCAATTACAGATAAGGAAAAAATCGATTTCGCAATCAAGGCTAATGATGTGGATCTACTGAGAAGACTTCCGCCCCCACCCACCTATACAAAGTCTCCTCTATATATCCTGTTGCCACCAAGCCGCAGGAATGAGTCAAGGATCCTGGACCTTGACCGAGCAAAAACTCAAACAGGGTGGCATCAGAAGAGACTCAGAAGGGCTAAACTTTATGACTCTCGGATTGGAAAGTCACGGAAAAAGTGGGTGAGCGTCGAGCTACGGACGTTAAAGAAGTGCTTAACGGGAGGCAACCCGTCATTCAAATAACTAAAATAATTAAATAAATTCAATAGTTTTATTTGTTAGTTTTTGAGGTTATGCTTGCCGCACCAGTTTTGGGGGCAAGAGTTATTTTGTTTGTTGTCTTTGCTTTTGCAGATGAGAGAATTGTAGGGCATACCTTACAGTGGGAGCGAAGAAGAGGTCTCACCTGGGGAAAACACTAGGTTTCTGCAACCTTCGAGGCTTCTTGATCCAAAAGTCCTGGTTGAAGTTGGCTACTGAGAGAATATTCACTTCCTCAGTAAAGTCTCTTTTTCTCTACTATTTTGAATATGATTTGGATGCTTGATGATTTTTATTTTGGAATTTCACAACATGACTCTTAAAACCATTTTGAGAATATTTTATGCATTATTTCATATTTACATGTTATGGTTATCTATTATTTCAATCTTCATTGTTGAATCTTGTAAGTATTGAGATAACTTAGTAATTGCATGTGAGCATTTCAACCATTAACTCCGATTCAAAAACACTCTTAACCACGAGGGCGTGGTTCAGTTTAAGTGTGAGGAGGCAAGAGTTCCTGGTCGAAATGATCTTTTTAGGAAATGTTTTGTCTATGTATTGTTAGGAAAAGATTTTATAAAATAGCCATCAATTTTATTTGTTTGATTAATTAATCTTTAGTTATCACCCGTAGAAATTGGAAATTTTTAAAATTTTTGTCATTTTTGTCAAACTTTTATTTTTACTCTAACCTTTTGGGAATGTTTTCTAAAATGATTTGGGATAAAATCACAATTTATTAAGAGTTTTTTTAGATCAATCAATTTTAAGTGCTTTATTGAAAATCTTTTTGCTGATGCTTTTAGGAGTATATGTTGTTTCTTGAAAAGAGTTATTTTCAAAGTATAAGGGGTGACGTTTCAAAGTATGCTTTGGTGAGACCGAGATTCTTGTTTTAGCCAAAAAGCAATTGGTTCTATGTCAATTGATGAGGCTTGGTGAGTATGCCAAAAAGCACGCAGTTCTATATTGCGTGATGAGGCGTTTTGAGTGTTAGAGTCAAAAAGCATGCAGTTCTATGTCGTGTGATGAGACTTTCCAGAGTGAATATCCAAAAAGCTCGTGGTTCTATGTTGCGGGATGAGGTTATAAATTTTTCTCGTGTCAACATGACAAAGTTATGACAAAGAAAATTAAACCCTTACACTTTGACAATTACTTTTGCAAGAACATGTTTTCCAATTTAGCCATTAAAAAATTATCTGATCTTTAAAGTACTCTTACAAATGTAGTTATCCCAAAGAAAGTTTGGAAAATTTTGGTTGTTTAGATTGGTGTAAAAATATTGGTTTGAAAAAATTCTTTTACATTTCTAACAATATGGGTGAGAATCAAAAGTGTTATATCTAAGCTCAGGGTTTTATAGTCTCAGACTCTTTATTTGCAGGAGAGGGAGATAATCGATTGTCCTAAGTGGATAATCGATTATTGAAGGCTTCAGGTTCTGGGTAGTTTTCTAGGAATCCTCTGAGAAGGGAGACAATCGATTGATGGGGGAGTGACAATCGATTATTGAGAATTACAGGTTTCTGGGAAAAGCTAATAATCGATTGTCCTAAGTGGATAATCGATTATTGAAGGCTTCAGGTTCTGGGTAGTTTTCT